AAAAATTATGGAGCATTATAAATTACAGGCTCTCGAGAAAGCAGTAGAGCCAAAAAGAGGATTTGATTGTGAATTTCATATCCGAATGGAATTCAATGCTTGGAGATGAGATTTACCAGAACCTAATCAAGTCAATGCCAAAAAGGGTTGAAAAGGTTATTCAAAATAAAGGAGGAACCATAGATTATTAAATATTTCGAACTATATTACCTATTATAAATAAATTATACCTCTATTATTCTTTATTTAAAGCTGTTCGGTTATGTTTCTATTGATTACTAGTTGCAGGAAATAAGTGAGTCACATTTTTGCATAGACTTTTTCCCTAAATCTCATTTATATCCAAAATTATAATTATCAATAGAATACCTTAGGGTGAGCAAACTTTGTTACTAGGTTGTCTGGAATGGGCCTTTATATTAGTAAGATTAAAAATTAGGTTGACCCCAAAAACAATAGGCGAAAAAAATTTTAAGTAAAAAAAATCAGGTGAGTCACTTTTATCGAAAAGCACTGTACTTGCTCATATTAGAAGGGTAAATGAAAATATGTTTATCTTTTATTTGCGATGACCTTTCAGGATGTAGGCGATCATGGTTCTTCAGAACTGTTTTTCGAAGTAACGTTTCATCTTTTACCAACTTTTCTTGTCCTTGTGTCATCCATTCGCACAAACTCGTTAAATATGCTACTCTTTGCGCTAATGTTGTTTCCAATATGTGCTGGGAGCGTTAATCGTTTCCTAGATTTTCTTTCTTTATATCATTGCTTCCAAAAACGTTATCTGTCACTTTCTGATTGTTCACCTTCTTCAGGTGATATTGGAATTTCGAACCGAACCGTTTATTTAGTCCGCAGGGGGTAGATCGTTCTAGTTCCACGTGCCATGGCTTTTCTGGATAACTCTATTCCAGTTATTTCACTTTTAGTAACTCAACTCTCCAAGGTTTTGTTCACCTCTGCTGTGAACAGGTAATGAACTTGCCACTCCTGTCATCACGCACCTGGATTGCTTCAACCAACGCTTTTATCAAAGTGGACAAAGGACTTGCGGTTCGAAATTAATTACAACATATATCGCCAGAAGAAGGCCGGGGCGTACAACGGCCGAAACGTCGTGAATATGACAATAAAGATGACGACGACTGTCCAAACAATGTAAATAGTGTAAATAGTTACAATACCTCCTCTCAGAAATACAGACAGATGTTAAAACTTTCTGCTTAATTAATGTCCTATCCATTGTATTCTCATAGCCGTCTGTTAAAAGCTATCGCTTCCCATTTATTCTTCATTTTCGTTTTAATTCCGACATTCATTGTCATATAGAATATTAAAAATTACGTAACACTTCAGTCCTTTTTATTTGACACAATCTGTTGTTAACTCGGGCAAAATATGGATTTTTACATTATTCGGATTATAGCCCTCATCTTTGCAGCCATATTTATCACAACGATTTCCTCCGGTAGTTGGAATGTCGAACTAAACCCCTTATTTCGCTCACTAGGGTGGAGTATTCTAGTTCCACGTGCCATGTCTAATGGGTGTCATTTTATCACCTGTCATTTCCCCTCTCCAAGTTCTCCACTGCTTTAACCATATATTGAACTCACAACTCTTTGGATCCTGTCACGAGATCTAACCAACGCCTTTATCCACTGTGTCATGTGTCCTTGAAGACATCTGCATATGAATTTGGGGGACTTATAAAACTAATATATTCATCAATCGTTTTTTATCAGTGCTCATATTGAATTTTTTTGCTGTTATCATTGCATGTTATTTTAGTAGTCCGAATAATGAGAATAGTGTACATAATACCGCTCAGAAATATAGACAGAAACAAAATATGGCTTGTTAATTTGAACGCTTCTAAAACAAGTCAGATGTCTTTTAATCGTCTGAGAGAGCACTATTTGCCCTTCGTCTGCATGGCTGATGCTAACCTCCAGGAGGAGGATTCATTTCGACTTCTCGATCTAAATGTTTCTGCTGATAATAAGTGGAAAGATAATATTGAAACAGCTGTTAGGTCTACAGCAGGCAAAGTTTGCTGACGGTATCGAGCTGGGAAAGTTTGATCACGGTATCGAGCTGGGAAAGTTTGATCACGGTATCGAGCTGGGAAAGTTTGATCACGGTATCGAGCTGGGAAAGTTTGATCACGGTATCGAGCTAGGAAAGTTTGCTCACGGTATCGAGCTGGTAAAGTTTGCTCACGGTATCGAGCTGGAAGTTTGCTCACGGTATCCGGTATCGGCTGGGAAAGTTTACCACGGATCACGGTGATCGAGCTGGGAAAGTTTGCTCACGGTATCGAGCTCGGGAAAGTTTGATCACGGTATCGAGCCAGGGAAAGTTTGATCACGGTATCGAGCCGGGGAAAGTTTGATCAGCTTGGTATCGAGCTAGGAAAGTTTGCTCACAGTATCGAGCTGGTAAAAGTTTGCCTCACCAGTATCGAGCTGGTAAAGTTTGCTCACGGTATCGAGCTGGGAAAGTTTGCTTCACAGTATCGAGTTCTTTGTCAGAATCTCTTTACTCATTGGTAAGTATGTAACTCGCTCATGTATTGAATATCGCTGTCGCATCTGGCCTGGTACTTCTATATGTATTTAAAGACTCTTGGCAAAATTCAAAGAAGGAATCTGCAATGTTATTGTTCCAAATCTGGAATGTCGGCTTCACCCTTTTTTTTAAAACCACCATAACGTTGCTTGCCTTCGACTTTTCTATAAGCCTTTTAACGGTAATTCTTGGATGAGCTCTTCCCACTTGGCACCTAAACTTTATGAATTGCAGCAGTGTTAGAACGGTAGCAAGGTCTCATCATCTTACATTTAAAATATCAGCTGTAACTGTAAGTTCTATCCTAAGAGTTTCTTCTTTCGCTCTTCTCGTGTGTGGAATTATTGCTTTAAAACCAAATTTGATCTTCAAAAATTTAAATTCAATATCAATCGTCATCTTCTGTCTTCTTAATTCCTATTCTTTTATTGTTCTCTTTCCTTAATAAACTTTTCTTTTTTTTTCCTACTCTATCACACTTAGTAACTCTTTGCATCTCAGTGGCTCTATTGTCTTGCTTCACGTGAAATCATTAATAGGAAATTCTAATTCCTTTGTTTCAAAATCATTTGTTTTCATTCTGATCGTTTAAGTGGACTCTCGTGGATTATTGCCAAGCATGTAGTCATGTTAGTTCATAAATGTCAGGTTACCTAGCTGTTGGTGTTACGATTAAATAATAATTTAACCGTGTAAATTAAATTTACCCAAACACATACCTTTGGGCGCATGGGTAATTTCTGATCGTTTGCAGTGAGTGGGTTAGAAATCATGGTTCCAAATCTCTGATTGCTATCGGGAGATGCAATAATATTTACGTCTTTTCAAAGTCGTCATGGCAAATATGCTACTATCTAACCTAATTAGGAAACAGCATACCTGGGGACTCATTAAGCAAAGGCTTATGAATAAAATACGATTTGCTAATTAGAACAGCAGCAAGGGATTAGATCAGTTGCAATAGACAACTATGTGAATAGACTAAGCTATCTTGCTAGAGAGAAAGAAACATACTGATATATATATATATATATATAGAGAGAGAGAGAGAGAAAGAGAGAGAGAAAGAAAGAAATGTTCGCGTACCTATAGTGATTTTCCAAGTGTAGCTTAGATGTGGCACAAGGCCGAAAGTATGGGGCACACAGTGAGGATCGAACTCACTGCTCAGTTGTAATTGTTCTAGCGAGACAAGCTTGCTAACCATTACACCACCTCGAGGTGCCGCAAATGATTTTCTGAGCATAGCTTAGATGTGGGCACCGAAAGTATAGCACCCAGTGAGGATGCATAGTTGTAATTGTTCTAGGAGGACTAACCATTACACCACCTCGAGGTGCCGCAAATGATTTTCTGAGCATAGCTTAGATGTGGCACAAGGCCGAAAGTATGGGGCACCCAGTGAGGATCGAACTCACTGCTCAATTGTAATTGTTCTAGCAAGACAAGCTTGCTAACCAATACACCGCCTCGAGGGGCCAATAGTGATTTTCTAAGCATAGCTTAGATGTGGCACGAGGCCGAAGGTAAGAGGCACCCAGTGAGGATCGAACTCACTGCTCAGTTGTAATTGTTCTAGCGAAACAAGCTTGCTAACCATTACACCGCCTCGAGGTGCCCATGTTCGCATACCTATAGAACAAATGCATAGCTCTCGTTGGGACATATCAGAGTTTATCTGCTAGACTTATTTTCCTATCCGAAATGTAAGAAAAGGCAATTTTAAAATGAAAAAGGCAAAAATTAAACGTTCCCTGTACGGCTCCCGTAAGTAACTGACACCTTATTTTATCCTCTATTTTTACAAGCGTCAGACCAAAACAAAAATATAGTACAGGTGACATATATAGACAGAAGCTGCCTAGTCTTCACTTTCCCATCTCGTCCAAAAGCGTCGCCGCGTCCTTGTGAGTGACAAATTATTTTTGCACTCTGCAACCTCTTTCTCATAGCCGAAAGGTCGCGAGACTCTCGCTACTCTCTCGCGACATCAATGGAAAATGCTCAGGCGAACTACATTCTTTAGTTCCACCAGTTTTACCTTTCACGTCTAAAACTCGTCATGCCACGCACCTTGTGCCGAACCACGCTCGCATTCCATTAGTCAGATCTAAGTTCCACTCGAGCAATTTCCACCCACGCCCTGCTCCTCTGTGGAATCGATTCCTTAGGAGATGCTTGCCGATCACTACAACCTGTTCAAGGCTAGTTTCATCCGGTACTTTCCTCAGATATCTGCATAAAGTGTGCCTCTTTGTAATCCTCTACCTCGAGTGTCTCTCTGATCTCTCTGATCTCATCACCTTACATTTCAAATATTTATATGTAACTGTACGTTCTATCCTATGAAGTGGAAAGATAATATTGAAACAGCTGTTAGGTTTATAGCTGGCAAATTTGGCTCACGGTATCGAGCTGGGAAAGTTTGCTCACGGTATTGAGTCGAGCTGGGAAAGTTTGCTCACGGTATCGAGCTGGGAAAGTTTGATCACGGTATCGAGCTGGGAAAGTTTGCTCACGGTATCGAGCTGGCAAAGTTTGCTCACGGTATCGAGCTGGGAAAGTTTGCTCACGGTATCGAGCTGGGAAAGTTTGATCACGGTATCGGTGGGATCGAGCTCACGGTATCGAGCTGGGAAAGTTTGCTCACGGTATCGAGCTGGGAAAGTTTGCTCACGGTATCGAGCTGGGAAAGTTTGCTCACGGTATCGAGCTGGGAAAGTTTGATCACGGTATCGAGCTGGGAAAGTTTGCTCACGGTATCGAGCTGGTAAAGTTTGCTCACGGTATCGAGCTGGTAAAGTTTGCTCACGGTATCGAGCTGGGAAAGTTTGCTCACGGTATCGAGCTGGGAAAGTTTGCTCACAGTATCGAGTTCTTGTCAGAATCTCTCTTACTCATTGGTAAGTATGTAACTCGCTCATGTATTGAATACTGCTGTCGCATCTGGCCTGGTACTTCTGCTATGTATTTAAAGACTCTTGGCAAAATTCAAAGAAGAATCTGCAATGTTATTGTTCCAAATCTGGAATGTCGGCTTCACTCTTTTTTTAAAACCACCATAACGTTGCTTGCCTTCGACTTTTCTATAAGCCTTTTAACGGTAATTCTTCTGATGAGCTTTCCCACTTGGCACCTAAACTTTATGAATTGCAGCGCAGTGTTAGAACGGTAGCAAGGTCTCATCATCTTACATTTAAAATATCAAGATGTAACCGTAAGTTCTATCCTAAGAGTTTCTTCTTTCGCTCTTCTCGTGTGTGGAATTATTGCTTTAAAACCAAATTTGATCTTCAAAAATTTAAATTCAATATCAATCGTTATCTTCTATCTTCTTAATTCCTATTCTTTTATTGTTCTCTTTCCTTAATAAACTTTTTCTTTTTTTCCTCCCTCTATCGAAATTGTATTAACTCTTTTCCATCACGAAAACCATTGTTGAGCAATTTCGTTTTGCTCCGACATTTAAAATCATTAATGTAAGACTATGGAAATTCTAATTCCTTTGTTTCAAAAAATCATTTGTTTTCATTCTAAATCGTTTAAGAAAATGGACTCTCGTGGATAATAAAAACAAAATATATCCAGTCATGTTAGTTCATAAATCAAATAGTTACAAATTAAGAATTGGTGTTAACGATTAAAGAACAAATTTAAATGAGTGTAAATTAAATGTTCAAGTCAAACACATACCTTTGGGCAGATGGTAATTTCTGATCGGTTTGCAGTTGGTGGGAAGAAATCATGGTTGAAATCTCTGATTGCTATTGGGGAAGGCAAAATGTTTTACGTCATTTTCAAAGTCGTAGATTGGAAAAATATACTATATAACCTAATTGAAAGATCATACCTGGGACTCATTAAGCTGCTTATGAATAAAATACGATTTGAAATAAAAATTAGGAACAGTCTGATAGCATCTATTAATAATAATTTAGCTATCACATAGATCTCTCCCGCATCTATATCCTCATACTGATATATATATGAAATTCAAGAGAGGATAACCATATTGTATCAGAAAGAAATGTTCGCGTACCTATCTATGATTTATATATATATATATATATATATATAGGCCGATAAGTATGGGGAAAACAGTGTAAATCTATATCAAGGTTCAGTTGTTAATAACAGTTCTAAGCGAAACAACAGTTATAGCATATTTCACAAATTAAGAACCACCTCGACAAAAAGCAAATCATTTTCTGAATATATCATTAGACTTCAAGACAAGACAAGTATGGTCTGACCCAGTGAGGATCGAGAACTGCTCAGTTTTATTGTTCTAGTGAAGAAATCCCAGTTAACCATTACACCACCTCTTCCAATAAATTTTCGAGAGGAATGTTTTAGATGTGGCACAAGGATTAGAAGCAACAGAAAGTCTATTAAAGCAACAGAAATTCCATTAAATGCTTACAAACCTCTAAACAAAATTAAGGCAACAGATATAGACTACGTAACGATGGAAGAGTTGCCTGAAATCACGGTTTTCTCATAGCTTGAATGGCAACGAGGCCGAAAAGGTAAGAGGCACCCAGTGAAATGATCGAACTCACTGCTCAGTTGCATTTTTCCGCGAAACTTTAAATTAATAACTGTTTTGTTTTATTCATGTTCTAACATCTGACTGAACAAAGAATAGCTCTCAGGTTGGGAAATATCAGCAGCAGATATGACGTTATCACATCGAAGTATTTTCCTATGGGGAAATGTAAGAAAAATCAATTGAAAAATGAGTGGGCAAAATTAAACGTTCACTTACGACAGCCATTGAAATCAAAGACTTTGGTTGGAATTTTATCCCTGATTAAACAAGCGTCAGACCAAAACAAAAAAGTACAGGTGACATATATTGATGGAATCTCCTGAACACATCTTCACTTTTCCCATTTCGTCAAAAAGAGTGTTGAACCGCGTCATCCTAAGTTACAAACGTTCAAGGAAATTTTTGCACTCTGCAACCTCTGTCAGATTTTCCGTTATAGGTCGCGAGTTTCGGTTCTACCTCTCTCGTGACATCAATGGAAAATGAGAAGGCGAACTACATTCTTTGGTTCCACCAGTTTTACCTTTCAGGTCTAAACTCGAAGTAGAAGCACCTTGTACCGAACCAATCAGGTTTTCCATTAGTCAATCTAGTTCCACCAGATCAATATTCCACCCACGCCCTGCTAATCTGTATGAAATCGATTGTTTTGAAGATGCTTGCCGATCACTACAACCTGTTCTACTGACTATATTCATCGGTACTTTCCTCAGATATCTGCATAAAGTGTGCCTCTTTTAATCCTCTACCTCGAGTGTCTCTCTGATCTCCTGAGCTCATGGGCTTACATTTGCCCATTGAACCCGTATAAACGTTCTATCCTCGGAAGTGGAAAAGATAATATTGAAACAGCTGTTAGGTTTATCCCTGCCAAAGGCAGAGAGTTCAACCGGAAAGTTTGGTCGACGGAGATCGACTTGAACTACTTCCTTTGCCTGCGGTATCGAGTATGGGAAAGTTTGCATTAACGGTATTATTATCGGAAAGTTTGATCACAATAATCAATCTGGTGCGCTTTTGATCAAGTGTCAGAAGACATGGCACTAACCAAACAGAAACATTCGTCATGGCAAGTTCATTGTGCAGAATTTTCATTTCGAGCTGGCAATGAATGTCTTTGTAGGGTAAACCCTGGGATTTTTTTGCAGACGGTATCGAGCTGCCAAAGTTTGTCCATTTTCAAGAGAAGTCTCTATTAGTTACTTTTACAATAGTCTTGAACAGTCAGATCTTAGTTTATCTGGAGTGAAACAATGTCGTTAATGATGAGAAGAGTTTAAATTAATGCATCCAAGGTATCGAGCTGGGAAAGCATGCTCTTCAGTATAAAGTTTCTTGTCAGAACCCTTCAGATGCTGGCACTAGCAATGCATCTTAAAAAGACATATATTGTGGAAATGATTACAGTAAAAACCCAGGATAATCTAGGAGAATTTTTTTTATGATTAGTGAGTAACAAAAAAATTCAAGAAGAATCTGCAATAATAATTTATTTAAAATCTGAGAATGTCGGCTTCACTCTTTTTTAAAACCACCAGAACGAATAATAACGATCAATTTTTTTGTAAGCCTTTGAACGGTAATTCTTTGACAGCTTTTTGTAATGTCAACGAAACTCGTTGTTGCTTTTGTAGTGTTAGAACGGTAGAGGTCTCATCATCGTAGATTTAAAATATCAACGATTGAACAATAAGTTCAGACGCCTACGAATTTCTTCTTTCGCTCTTCTCGTGCTCGATAATTACTTGCTTTGAACAGTAATCACTGAATTTGATCTGAATTTAAAATTTAAATTGAATATCAATCGTCATCTCCATATGGCTTAGAGGATAGAGTAGAAATTGTGATCCGTTAATAATAGAGAATAGACTAGAAATGGAGATCAGTTAGACGTCACGTGACTTCCTACCTACGTGTTTCCGCCATGGTTACGTGATCCACTTAATTCAATAATGGAATCGCCTGTGTTTGCTCACTGGCGATCTATGTTCAAACTCAAGTGTCGGCAGCGACACTTTATTCCTATATAGCACGCTTATAAGAAGATAGGATGTATGGTCAGCAGCGAGAGAAAAAGTCACGGGTTTAAGCTACGAATTGGAAACCTCAAAATTAAATAAGTACAGAAGATATCTGGGAATTGTTTTAACGCTGGATGGGAAATATGATGGCGAAATGTGAACAGGCGTTGAAACAGCAAAGTACTAAGTAACAGGAAATGTTCGTTAGAAACAGAGAAAAGAGTACTGAAAAGCTATATTATACCGCTACTCCTATATTGAATGTTGGACAAATTGACTCGTAGATGTCGAGAAAACCTGAGGCCATGTGGTTGATTCTGAGAATTCCATGGACGGAACATGTAAGCCACGAGAATTCAATAAGGCAAATGGAAACGAATAGCGCACATACTTAGAATCAGAAAGAGAGGGTTGGAAAATTGGAAACACACAGGACATGTGGAAGGCCAACGGAGAGACAACGTGGCATCTACATGACGAGCATTTTGTTAATTGATGGGTTGAACGAATAGTAAATGTAAAAAAAGGTTACCAAGGGTAACAAAATCATGGTGTGGAAAGGCACGATTACCGACCTCCATGATGTTACATGCCTACACGGAAGAAAAAGTAAAAGAAGACCTGTGCTCATTTAAGTTTCGGAAAGAAACCCCATTGATACTAGAAAGAGTCCGTAATGGGTATGACTATAAACTACAAGGCTTCTCATCAGGAGGTGTTTTGTTCGTGAGAAAAAAAAATTAAAATTATATATAAATTAAGATTTAGTGAAATCAATAAATAAGATCGATTCAAATTATAGCGGACACATTATTAGAATATATTCTGATAGTTAATCAGTTTCAGAAAAAAATATTATTATTGAAAATTATTAGGAAGATACGATATCCCTAAAGAATGGATTGGTAAAATAAATTTTAAAAGTATGAACGTATACAAGGACAGCGAAAGCATTTTGTGGAAAGACACTATCGCCGACTTCCCTGAGGTAACATGAAAAAAAGTTAAAGAAGACCTGTGGTCATTTAAGTTTTGGAAAGAAACTCCATCAATACTAGAAAAAGTCCGTTATATATATATATATATATATATATATATATATATATATATATATATATATATATATACTACCTCTGATCAGGAATATTGTTTGTGAGAGAAAAAAAATTATATATAAATTAAGATTTGCTGAAATTAACACATAAATTTTAGCGGACACTATTATTCTAATATTTAATCAGTTTCAAACAAAATAAAAAAAAAATTATTGGAAATTATTAGTAAGGTACTATATCTCTAAAGAATGGCAGTGGTGAATGAAATCTTAAAAGTATGAGCGTTACGAAGGGCGGTAAAAGTATGTTGTGTAACGTCACTATCACCAACTTCTCTGAAGTGACATGCACACAGAAGAAAAATTAAAAAAAAAAGATCTGGGATAATTTAAGCCTATAGCGCAAGTCATCACGTTCGCATTGAATGCATGATGATGCTGAAAATAGGTCACGCAAAAGTTATGACACACTGGCGGAAAATTCACATTAAATTTACCTACTTAGGGAACATTAAAACAGGATCAATACTTCGTATAGCTTTCACTGACACGAATTGCAGCTTTATCTCGTCATGCATGTTAAATGTCAGGGTTTTGAGCACGCCAATCTTTTAACACTGCAATATCTTCATGAGCGATAACCTTGGGCGCTGCACGCGAAGTATGACTTCATCTTCTGTTAGAATGACATAATGCAATAATTAAGAGAGAAATGATACGTATTTTTCGCTGTTTCGACTTAATTTACCCGCGCTGTTGTGCAATTATACTCGCCGCACCATTTTTAACAGAATTCCTTATAAATATTGGATTATTTTTGTCTGAAGACGTTTGAACATCTTTTCTTAAACAAAAATTTCATCTAAAATTGATGTCATAAATTAATACTACCGTTGTCAATTTTCATAATATAGGATATTTTCTCTACAGTCTTTTGGTTGTGATCGATGATTTTGGTCAGACATTTTTTTTTTTTTGCAATACATCCATTTTGATTATCTTTACGTTAGATTGCTGGACATTTCCATAACATCAGGGGTGCAAGTATGAACTGACACTTGACACTAGTAAAATGTCAGGTCATTTAATATTGCGTTAATTTTGTGGTGAATACTCACGGCCTAATGAGTTTCATTCAGTCTCTAGATCAATGAAAAAATGATTTCAAGTAAAAATGGTTTAGAATGAATTTCCTAGATCTTAAAGAAGATGATCAAACTGGTTGTTAATTGATGCTATAGAATCACAAATTAAGACCGTTACGAAATTGCAAAAACCACATCACTTGAACATCTCAAACTTCAACAACTAAAATGTGTAGAACAGGAAAGGTAATGATATAACAAAAACGCTGACTTCCAAGACTGCTGCAAATAAAAACTTTGGAAAGAAACCCCCTCAATACTAGAAAGAGTTCGTCCTGAGTATGACGATGAACTGCCAGCAGAAAGGTTTTGAGGATGGTGGAACAGGAGATTTTAAGAAGCGGGGAACCCCCTTTTAATTGCTGTTTTTTTTCCAGGTCTACCGTGGCTCCGTGTGGTAGTACTTGTTAGGGTTCCATCTATAGGCAAATAGTTAACCACAAAACTGCGTTCAAAACACTATGAAAGTATATAAATAGATTTTTATAGTAAAAGTAGCAGCAGTAAATTTTCATAGTAAAAAAAAATTACTAGCAAGATATTTTTTGTAAAAATAAAAAAAAATATAAAATATTTACAGCAATACATTTTTGTTTAAAAAATTATCAGCAATACATTTTTGACAAAGAAAATTCTTACAAGAACTTTATTTTTTTGTAAAAGAAAGTACTAATACTCCCAAGAAAATTAAATTTCAGCATTAAATGACTCATAAATAGTTGACATGGCGCTAAAGAAATAAAAAAAAGTCAAACTAGAAAGAGTGGTAATGGTTAGTGGACTTGTGAAGTCTAACAGTTCTATCCATGAACGCTGAATGATTTCTGCATGGAAACTGTTAATTTCACTTTTAGTATTTGTAAAGTGTGACGAGTACGTCCGGTACTGCCTGTCAATAAAGAACACAGGCCACGTTCACCGGTCCACTTTATATATTATGCCAAGGGCAGGTAACTCTGTCTCAGCTTGTTTCGCAGTGGCAGATAACTCCGTTCTCATCTACACAGTATTAATATTATCGCTAACGTTGAGGATGCACATTTCTTTTTCTTGTCCAGAAAACGCTCCCAACAAGAGCAAACGTCTTCTGGGTGACTTGTACGGACAGTTTTGATAAGCTAAACTTCATCCCGATTTAACATTGACGTATTCTTTGTAACATTTTTATGATCTTCATCTTATTCTCAAAGCATTCTCAATCCATTATAAAATGAAAAGCATTTACTCTAAACAGTCAACCTGAAAGTTCCTTGGGTCAGGAAATCAGTTTAGCTTTCATTTAACAGTACAAATGCGCATGCATACCTTCATCTTTGAATAGTTTACCAAATGGATGATGCACTATAGTCAGTGTCGCCATGTTTTCGAATCTGAAAATCCTCCTTGTAATGCGTTAAATGTAAGAATTTTCATTGGAGTTAAATGAACGTATATACTATTCGTAAAAGTATATTTTCAAACGGTTGCAGTTTCTTAAACAAACAATTTTTGTATGGTAGCTCAGTTGTTAATAAGAAAAAATTCAGAGGTCATTATTACTATGTTGAGTTCGATCCTCACTCGAGGCCTTAAATATGTAATCCAATTCCGTATCATGTTAAGTTTCACCAAATTGACCCTCAGGAAAGCAATGTCTTAAAATACTGCAGGATATAAAAGCTAAAATAGTGAATATTGGCACCATTATTTAAATGAATTTTCATCAAAAGTATGCATCGTTTTATTTACCTGTTAGTCTTTGATGAATAATTTCCTCTCATTTTCAATCGCCCCACGATTCCTGGAATTGCGCAGTTTAAAAAAAATGAAAAAAATGAAACAGAAAACAAATAAAAACATCGTCTTCAGAGCTTTCACTTTTGGTACTGCCAACAGAATCCTGTTTTCCTTAGCGTTCGTCAGATTTACCAAAACTTCTACACACAGCAAAGTAAAACAAATAGGTCAAACGATTTTGTTGGCCGATTCAAATAATTCTTCTTCGTCTTTGAATGTCGTGACTGGAATTGGTTTTTAAGCCTTTGTACATTTCTGGAAAATGCCTTTGTCTTCATAATCGATAATCAATAAGCTAACAAATAATTGTTTAACTCCGTGTTTCGTGCTTAAAATTCCATAATAGCATTTGTTCCTGGACAGAAGTCACGTTGTCACGACTCATCAAATGAATACTTCGGTTCAATCATAAAGGATTTCTATGTTCCGGGTTGATTTTTTTTTCGATTACAGATTTATCTCAGAAATCTGAATTTTGCAGACACTTTTTTTTTCTCTGGTGTTCTTAATTACCACGCAGAGTTGCTCGAAATTTCTTCAAAGTATTCTGCATCTAAAAGTGAAATAATTTTCTTAATTACCATCCGAGTTAATTTTTTTATTAAATTTCACTAGTGTTTTTGAGGAAAAATACTTTAAAATGATATGTAAATTAAGATTTAGTAAAATTAACACATAAAACAGATTCATATGATAGCGGACGCATTTTTAGAACATATTCAAGGAAACAATCTATTAGTTAATCAGTTTCAGAAAAAAATATTAACATGATACGATATACCTACAGAATGGTACCAATTTAAAGTAATATATAATTAACTCATAATTTATGGTGAAATATAAACATTTCTCAAAGAATTCATATGCGAAGTTTCCATTTTTAAGCATGTATCAAGTTAACAGAAAACTTCAATATAACAAGTGTTCAAACAGTGCCGAGTAATTCTTGTAAAATATTTGCGCATACTTTTGTTTGCTACTACACCCGCGCGTCATGTATAAATTAAAGAATAATTATCAAGTAATCAGTCCACAATCGGGGCAAAATTCAGAAAAGCAATTAGTAAAAAAAATCACTAAGATATCTCCCTGATGCTCTAAAACTATTTCCATAAGAAAAAGAACTGGACTAAAATCTGAAGTGAACAGTTCAACTATTTCTGAAACATAACAATATTGGATTTAAACTTTATACGCTTCCTTCTTCCTCTTTATTTTTCCTTTGAAGACGAGATGAATATATCTACAAAATCAAAATTTTACCCCGCCAACATTCTACTGACTCTGGTATGATATCTCACTGCTTAACTTTTAAATAATTTTATACGTTTTGCTCGTTTGAATATTATGTTTATACGATTGCATATGGCTGGGGTTTGCAAGCGTTTTATATACAGTAGTCGTAATTTCCTTCGGAGAACTCTCCCGATAGGGCTTGACAGAAATTCTAAGACCAGTGCAATTAAACAACAACTGAATACACCGCTTATATATATATATATATATATATATATATATATATATGTATATGTGTGTGTGTGTGTGTGTGAAATTGTGAGTGAAATTATTTACCTGCAGCAAGATGTGGCACAAGGCTGAGTTTTTAAGTGAGGTATCCGAGCCCGTAGGCTCGGGCAAAAATTCCCTGCAGACCGC